ACTCTGTATCGTATGGCTCCAACCAAAATCAAAGAACTTGAGGAGCAACTTGAGGACCTTTCTAATCCGGGTTTGTTTGACCTGGTGTATCTCCATGGGGTGCACCAGTACTATTCGTTAAAAAGAAAGAAGTATCGATGCAGTTATGTATTGACTATCATGAACTAAATCGGGTCACGATACGTAATAAATACCCTTTACCCTATATTGATGATATCTTCGATCAACTCCAAGAAGCAAAGTATTTTTCTAAGATCGACTTAAGGTTTGGATATCACCAACTCCAGATCAGAGATCAAGATATTCCTAAGACTTCTTTCCGTACTCGGTATGGTCATTATGAATTTATTGTTATGCCATTAGGATTAACTAATGCTCCAACAATCTTTATTGATCTTATGAACCGGGCTTTCAAAGATTATTTGGACGACTTTGTTATCGTTTTTATTAATGATATTCTCATATATTCAAAGTCGAAAGAAGATCACAAAACTGGCTTGTGTATTACTTTAGAAACTCTTCAAAATAAGAAGTTTTACGCAAAGTTTTCTGGATGTGAATTATGGTTACAACAAGTGGCTTTTTGGGCCACATTATCTATGGCGAAGGTATTAAAGTCGATCATGCAAAGGTTGAGGTTATCACTAACTGGCCAAAACCAACAAATGTTTCTGAAGTCTGAAGTTTTCTAGGTTTGGCAAGTTACTATCGACGGTTTGTCGAAAACTTTTTCTGGATCGCGCTCCCTATGACTAAACTTCAAAGAAGTTAAATTTGTTTGGGGTGAAGAACAGGAAAAGAGTCTTGAAGAACTGAGAAAGAGATTGATTACAACGTTTGTTCTTGCATTGCCATTTGCGTCGAGAGGTTTTCAAGTTTATAGTGATGCTTCTAAAAGTGGTCTTAGTTGTGTTCTAATACAGTACGGCAAAGTGATTGTGTATACCTCTCGCCAGCTCAAACCTTATGAAGTAAACTACCCTACTCATGATCTTGAATTGGTAGCAGTCATTTTTACACTCAAAATATGGCATCACTATCTGTACGGAGAGATTTGTGATATCTTTACTGCTCACAAAAGCTTAAAGTACATATTCACACAAACAGAGTTGAATATGCGTCAATAACGGTGGCTTAAACTTCTTAAGGACTACAACGTCTGAATTCCATATCATCCAGGAAAAGCAAATGTAGTCGCTGATGCCCTTAGCCGTAAAAACATTGGTAATGTATCGTCTTTAACCATTCAATACCATATTGCTTCAGATCTGGAACGTATAGGTATTACTTTGTGTTATCATGGTGGAGATGAATTTTTGACAGTTCGATTTTCGAGTTGATGATAAATGTATTATCTGGTTTTCTAATCGACTTTGTGTACCCGATAATCCTGAACTCAAAGAAGCAGTTCTGAGTGAAACCCGTAATTCACTGTTCTCGATTCATCTTGGATCCACTAAGATGTACCGAGATCTAAAGCAGTACTTTTGGTGGAATGGTATGGAACGAAATATAGCAGAATACATGACAAAATGTCTTACTTGTCAGAAAGTAAAGATTGAACATCAACGGGCTAGGGGATTATTACAACCATTAGAGTTTCCAGTTTGGAAATGAGAGCATATCTCTATGGATTTTGTGACAAGACTACCAAAAACTCAGAGATGACATGATGTTATATGGGTAGTAGTTGACCGTTTGACAAAATCAGCTCATTTCCTACCTATACATGAAACATACCCTGTTAGTAAATTTTCTGATATATTACAGCAGGAAATTGTGATATTGTATGGCACGCCAGTTTCTATCACATCGGACCGAGATCCGCGATTCACTTTTCGAATCTAGAAAAATCTTCACCAGGTTTGGGGTATGCAATTGACTATGAGTTCACCTTTTCATCTACAAACAAATGGAAAGTTTGGACGAACTATTCAAACTCTAGAAGATATGTTACATGCTTGTGCTCTTGAGTGATCTGGTGGTTGAGACAAGTCTCTATATCTTGTGGAGTCCACATATAAATAATAGTTGGCAAACCAATATCGGCATGGCCCCGTACAAAGCTTTATACAGTCGAAGATGTAGAACACCAATCTGTTGGAATGAAATGGGAAAACGAGCTATCGAATGACCCAAACTTGTCCGAATTACTACTGAACAAGTCAATATCACAAGACAGAAAATAAATTAGGTTCAATCTCAGCAGAAAAGTTACGTTGACAAGCATCGAAAACACTTAGAGTTTCAAACGGGTGATCACGTCTTTCTAAAAGTTTCACCGTTACGAGGTATTTGCAGATTCAGAATCAAAAGTAAACTTAGTCCGAGATATATTGGACCATTTCGAAATACTTGAGTGAGTTGGATAGGTGGCGTATCGTCTAACGATACCTTATCAACTGTCACATATCCACAATGTTTTTCATATTTCGTCGCCCCCCTAATATCATTATCACCCTCTCCACGTGATTGATTATTCGTTGGACAAAGTTGAAAAAGATTTTTCTTAATATTACATATATGTCTCTCACTTAAATAAAAAAACATTGGAAATAGAAATTCTAATCTAATTGATAAGATTAATCATGACATTCCCAACATAACTAATTGTGTTTTTCATCTCAACCAAACACTATATATATAACTTTATAAATAAAGGGATGTAAAAAGACATAAATGTCCTTATGTGAGAGACAATGGAGGCACGTAACATGTTCTTTATAGACTTATCATCGGAGACCTAAATCTATAACGAATTAGAAACCATGGTGATCTTCTATAGTATAAATGTATAACAAATGAATTGTATGGATCTCACTCGGTAATTTTCACTAAAAACACATTACAAAATATGTAGTTTACTCTAAATTTGATGAATAATCGTCAACATCTGTCCATGTGGTTTACGAGAACTCTAGCTTTTGCCGCTTAACTATCGAAACACCAGACGTCTATAGTTTCTACTTTATTATGGTTTTAGTCCTTGGCCTAACACGCGTTAAGGCTCTCTGTTAAGTGGCGTTATGTGACTAGCATGTTGAAGCATTTTGGTCATTTTCTATTTCATATTATAAAGTTTTTAATGTATAAGTGTGTAAAGAATATGTACAAGCATTTATTAATAAAATTAAACTTAACTTTGAATCTAGTAAAAAGCAATTTCGTTCGTATAGTCGGTGGGAATGGTGACTTTATCTTCTCCGATTTCATCGTCTTCACCTCAACCGTTACATGACCGCAAACATAACCTTGTCACCCACTGACCCACCAATCCATCACCTCCCCTTGTCTTCTTCTATAGCCCCTTGTGATCTGATATCTTCAACTGTCCAGCAAAATCAACATCCACACTATTTTTTGAAAGGCGACGGCATCTCTCAAACTTTTGTCACGACAAACAAAAGATGCACCTAAACTCCATGGTACTACCGCCGTATGCATGTCAAATTTATATATGCCATGATTATATCAAATTCCATACCATAAATCCCTTGTTTGAATCAAAGTCACAGTTTGACTTTTCAAAAAGTCCAACCATGTACTCTTTTCTTTTTTCACCTTTATTTATTAAACCCTCTTCATGATTCAAAATCTTTACATGTATGATTAGCAAAGCTTCTTTAAAATAAGATAAAGGAGTATAGAACATGGTAACAATTTATACCTTTACTTAGAACACTTGTTGTATTATCACAAATTAAAATTCATATATCATGTACATAGTATTTCGTTTCGGTAATTATTTTGACTCATTGTAATTACCATGAGTTGTTAACGATGTATCTTCTACGTTCTTTCTTACATTACCCTTAATGGATTCCAAATGATACCACATTCGTCTTTCTTTAGCATTGTATTGCGCTAACATGTGCCGGGTTGACTCATACTAGTTATAAGTTGAATTATATCAAGTCGTTCATTGCTTTGTTAATGATATCCATCATAATTCAACTTCATTATATTGAATAACTTTGACGTGTCAAGACACACATAATTAGGTTATTACAGCTATGAATATCACTACAACAAATTAGCGGGGCTTTTAAGGACGTTCAACCATCATTACGTATTAATTATAACAGAGTACTTAATGGAGCTAACAACAATTGTATATCCATACAATGACGTTACACTAAGTTGTTCGGACGAAATTAGACGACCTAACAAGTTGTATCAATGAAAGCGGACATCTTATCAAGATATAAATAAACCCTAATCATTTTAGTTTTTAGAATATATACATATAGATACATGTATAGTATACATTAATACATGCATATACATATAGAGGGAATATCATGCGAGAAGTAAACTAATTTACGAGAAGACGAGAAAGAATATGTGTCACATAATCCATTAGTTAAAAAAATACCATAAATAAAAGATAAAAATAATTTTAAAAATTAGAATAATTACCATTTTGAATTACATAAATCTGTAAAAATCTCATTATATTTTTTTAATTTATTTATTTTTTAATTTTAGTTAATTCATAATATTCTTCATCAAGCTTTATATAAATTTTTTCTAGATACATTTTTTTAATAAAAAATTTCACAATTTTCATCAAATATTATATTTGATATCCACAATCAATTCATTATCTTTTTCTCTATTTTTTGGATCCACGTTTCAAATCACATGTGATTAGTTTCGTTTTTACATATATCTATTACGTATCACCTTTGAACGGAGACAAATCGTTCCCTCTTTCTTATCTATGATGAAAAGGGTCGGCTAAGAATCGCAAATACTAAACAACCTGTTTGATTATCACTGATTCAACCATGGGGAAATAATATACTTGTGAAATTATTATGTTCTTTTTTTTGGCCTTCATTCACATGTGCATGTCCGCCAGCATCCTATGTTTCTGCCTTAATCAACAAAAATTTCCAAGCATAATGGACAAATCACATTGGCACATGCAGCTCTACATATATTTAAAACTTATAAGCCCAAGATTTCTTCGTGTAAACTTGCTATCAAACTCAAAAATGGACTGGTTCTATGGCTCTCTTCTGTCTCTCTTTGTAATCTTCGTCTCTCTAACACTTGGATTCCTATGCCACAAGAAAAACCCAACCGAAAACCTCGAGCCACCGGGCAGAACTGGATGGCCATTTCTAGGGGAGACCTTGGAGTTTCTTTCCACCGGTTGGAATGGTCATCCTGAAAAATTCGTATTTGATCGAATGGCAAGATACTCCTCCAATGTCTTCAAGACCTCGTTATTAGGATCAGAGGCAGCAGTCTTTTGTGGGCCTGCAGGCAACAAGTTCTTGTTCTCAAACGAGTATAAACTCGTAAGGATGTGGGTTCCGGAGTCCATAAAGAAGTTGTTCCCTTCCAAATCAAGCGCGGCTGAAGAAGCCATGAAGATGAGGAAATCTTTCCCAGTTTTCCTGAAACCCGAGGCTTTGCAGAAATACGTAGGTGTAATGGATGATATCACCGGAAAACACTTCTCAACTTCGTGGGAAAACCACCAAGTTGTCGCTGTTTACCCTCTTATTAAACGCTTTGCCTTTGTGATCGCTTCTCGGTTGTTTATTAGCGTTGAAAACCCTGATCACATTGCGAGATTTGCAGCCCCTTTCGACAGGTTGGTTTCGGGGATATTTTCGATCCCTATAGACTTCCCAGGAACGCAATTCAACAAAGCTATTAAGGCTTCAAAGCATATAAGAAAGGAGTTGATCGATATAATCGTGCAAAGAAAGAGTGATTTGGGAGAGGGGAAGGCTTCTCCTAAACAAGATGTTTTGTCACATATGCTGGTCACAAATGGTGATGGAGAGGATGCTATGACAGATTCAGATATTGCCAATAAGTTGATAGCTTTGTTGCTTGGTGGACATGATACTATTGCTAGTACATGCACCTCCATTGTTAGATATCTTGCTGAGCTTCCCCACATTTATGAAGGAGTTTACAAAGGTATGCATGAATCCCCTTTGAAATAATAGAAATAATTTTCACTTTTATCATAAAAAGACCATTTTTATGATGGATCCCAACTAAATGGATGATAACACCACTATGACCATTTATATATATATATATATATATATATATATATATGTATAGTTGTTTGGTTCTATAAACGTCACTCATATAAAGCAATTTATTAGGACATTTACAACATATTTGACGTCCTATAATACTGATTTTGTTGCAGCACGAATTCAAGCGTCTTTGTTATAACTAAAGAGACTCTTAAGTGACAGTTTAATGTGACGAAAACCCAACCAAACTCAGTCTCATTTTGTTCCTAATTAGTTAAAGAATCACAAGACTGAGTGTTCTTTAATTTTGGTTTAGAACAAATGGAAGTTGCAAAGTCAAAAGGCCCAGGTGAAGTATTAAACTGGGAAGACTTACAGAAGATGAAATATTCATGGAGTGTAGCATCTGAAGTGTTGAGGCTTTCCCCTCCTTTCCAAGGAACTTTCAGAGAAGCTCTCACTGATTTCACCTTCAATGGCTTCTTTATTCCAAAGGGATGGAAGGTATATTTTATATATATCATCTTCATTTATATATATATATATATATATATATATATATGTTTGGAACCTCGTTTTGTAGGCTCTTTTGGTAAGTAATCTAGACGGATTCACATATTCTGACCATGAGCAAACCACTCTGGTGACAGGGTGTGTTCAGTTAGAACCCCAAATCGACTAGACTTTGATCGTATAGTAATTAATGTGATGGTTCCACATATTCTCAGATATTTCATTGCTTTAATATATCTTAAGAAGTAGATGTTATATGATCATATGTTATATAACATCTCAGATATACTGGAGCACGAATGGTGTACACAGAAACTCTGTGTTCTTCCCGGATCCCCTGAAATTTGACCCGACAAGATTCGAGGGAGGTGGACCAGCTCCATACACATACGTACCGTTTGGTGGAGGAGCTCGGATGTGTCCTGGAAAAGAGTTTGCTCGATTGGAGATACTGGTTTTCATGCATCACATAGTGAAAAGGTTTCGATGGCAGAAAATCATTCCTGATGAAAAGATCATCGTCGATCCAATGCCTGTTCCTGCTGAAGGCCTGCCCGTTCGTCTCTATCCACATAAGATGTAAATTCGATCCTGTATGCCATATAGTTACAATAAATCTGGGTTCACGTTCAACATAAGAATAGTTTGATTGTACATTTATAAGTAAAATGAATGACAAAAATGCATCAAATTGTATACCAAGTTTGTACTAGTTTTTATTTAGCGTAAACATAAAAATATTTCGCTATTAGTGTAATAAACCATCATTTGTTTTTATTTACGGATGTTTTAACGAAGGCATCTTTCAGGAACGGATTTTCGAAGGCATTTTATCTAAGGAAAAATGCGTGAAATAGCAACCTACTTTCATAATTTTTTTATTATAACATTGTACTTTCAGTTTTTCTTATTACAGCAATGTACTTTCAAATTTTTTCTTATGAGGGCATTGTACTTTGAAAATTTTATCCATTGTAGTATTGGGTAACCTTTTGATATAAATTTACCTATTATACTAGGTTTTCATACCACCTTGTTCTCCACCTAGGATATCCACATGTGCCATATTGCTAATGTGTCATTTCTTAGTCGTAGGCCTATCCGACTATAGTTGTGACTCGAGCACAGCTTTCTGTGCTGCCCTTTCCCTTTCATGAGCCACCCTTCCCCTCCTCTTGTGTGTCAGCTAGTCCATTCAACCTTCTTTCGTTTTTCTTGTAATTCAAGTATCTAATGATATTCAACGTAGCAAAAGCAGGATCTGAGTCATCTCTAATCCAAAGAGACGACTCTGCTTCCGACCTCAAATCCCACAACTGTAGATCATTTGTTGAACGGGTGCTAGACTTAGAGCCATCCTTCTCCTGTATGTTATAGCCTCCTACCAATTTAAAAGTAAACATCTATCCATTAATTTAAACTGGGCAATCATTTAACCATGTAATCAAACCAAAAATCTAACCAGTGAACTTATTTTTCAGTTTCTTGTTCAAGTTTAATGTCCAAGATATAGAGAACAATGAACCAACCCTATGTATGGACATAATCAAATGAGAAACAAAAACTATTGGAGGATATTAAATTTGACCATATCTAATCCTTATTTTGTTGCCAAACTATTAGGAATTATCATTATAGTTTAGGGATTATCATTATAGCTTTTCTTATTTTTCTCTTTCAATCTAGTATATGTATCTTGATAACCTTTGAAGGAAAATTAATAGAAACCAATTTTCTCATGGTACCAGAGGGGATACCTCTCATATATTCAAAACCCTAAAACTGCCGCCTGATCATGGCTGACAGTAAAGAAAACACACGCAAAAACGAGGGCGAGTCCATAGAATCAAACTCACCGTTCTATATACACGCTTTCGATTATCCTAAACAAATGTAGGTAAACGAAGTATTGACCGACTACAATTACAATGATTGGGCACAAGAGATGACGAATTTCTTGTTTGCCAAGAACAAAATTGGCTTCATCGATGGGTTAATAAAGAAGCCAGAGAAGACTGCATCCAATTATATGGCCTGGATGCGTTGCGATGCAATGATAAAAGCCTGGCTCACTACGTCAATGGAGAAGGAAATACGTAGCAGTGTTAAGTATGCTAATAGTGCTGCGGAAATTTGGGATGACATGAAGGAGAGGTTTGGCAAAGAAAGTGCACCGAGAGCCTATGAGTTGAAACAATCGCTCACGATGACTCGACAAGACGGGACTTCCATCTCAGCCTACTATACTAAATTGCGTGGCCTATGGGACGAAATACAATTGGTTTTACCGATTCCTCGCTGCACGTGTAAGGGGTGTATGTGTGGGCTTGGGAAGAAACTTGTTGAACTCAAGGAAAAGGAAAGAACATACGAATTTTTTATGGGTCTTGACAGTGAATTTTTGGTGATTCGGACTCAGATTTTGGCAATGAAACCAACACCAAGCTTAGGGACGCATTATCATCTAGTTGTTGAAGATGAGCAACAGAGGGTTGTTTCCTTTGCTAAGAAAACAACTCAAGAAGCAGTTGTTTTTCAAGCTTTTGTTCCAGCAAAACGCGAAGCAGCAAAAAAAGGGGGGGCAGAAGGTAGACAAAAGCTCCTTCAATAATAAAGCTGAGCATTGCAATTTTTGTGGAAGAGACGGGCACAACCGAGAAGGATGCTTCAAACGAATTAGGTACCCTGAATGGTGGCTTGGAAAAGCAAAAAGGGAGATGACAAAGCCTAAAGCTGCACTTGTTGAAACTAGTTCGAGTCCTTTCCCAGGAATAACAGAAGAGCAATATAAGATGTTTGTTAAACACTTCAGTGGTGACGATGGTACCGATGGCTCATAAACGAAGCCGAGAGCAAACATGGCAGGTAGTTTTGAATTAGATTGTGATTGAGTTGTTGATTCGGGAGCAAATGAACACATCACTTTCAAACATATTTGCTTAAAAATATGACAACAGATGCCCACAAGACACCCATCAGAATTCCTAATGGCGATGACATTCCTGTAACAGGGAAAGGTGAACTTCTTTTAAAGGGAACAACCATGTTAAAGGGAGTACTGTTTTCACCCAATCTCAAATGCAACCTTTTGTCGTTCGTCGGTTAACAAGAGATCTACATTATGCTGTCACGTTTTTTCCTGACTTCTTTGTCATGCAGGGCTTGGGGTCGAGGAGCTTTATTGGAGCGGGTAGGTGCAGTAGAGGTCTATACCGATTGGGGGGGAATAAAGGGTGAAAGAAAGGCGATGATGGTCACTACTGATACATGGCATAAAAGGCTCGGCCATGCTTCCAATGTCAAACTTTCTCGGGTTAATTCTCTTACAAGTATTTATTTTGATTCAGAAAATAAAATGTGTGATTTTTGTATGAAGGAAAAATTTGCTAGACTACCTTTTCCGATCAGTTCAATAAAATCTAAAGAATGTTTTGATTTAGTGCATTGTGATGTATAGGGTGCGTATAGAACACCTTTCTTATCAAGGGCGACTTACTTTTTAACTATTGTCGATGACCATAGTAGAGCGGTTTGGATTTACTTGATCAAGCACAAACATGAAGCAAGCATTTGCTTAATTGATTTTTACAACTTGATCAAAACTCAATTTGGAAAATCCATTAAAACAATAAGGTGTGATAATGGAGGTGAATTTACCTCAAATTACATGCATGATTTCTACACGAAACAAGGGATTATCTTATAAACAACGTGTCCTCACACCCCCACAACAAAATGGGGTAGTTGAATGAAAGCATCGACATCTTCTTGAAATTGCTCGGGCCTTAAGGTTTGAAGCAAGTTTACCTATCATATTTTGGGGTGAATGTATTTTGGCTGCAGCCTATATCATAAATAGGTTACCATCCCAAGTTTTAGACAACATAACACCCTATGAAATTCTTTTTAAGGATTCCTAACTATGAGCACATGAAAGTTTTGGGGTGCTTAGTCTACTACAGAAACACGAAAGGTGACAAGTTCGAACCAAGAGGTAAAATGGGCGTCTTTATGGGTTATCCTTGTGGGACTAAGGGTTACAAAATTCTCGATATTGAGCAAAGAAAATTATTGTGTCAAGGGACGTAAAATTTGTGGAAGAAGTGTTTTCCTTTTCTGGTATTGAATCAAAGGAAGAAATCATGGAGGATGTTTTTTTTTAGAATATATATGAAGCTGAAATAAACCAAAGGAATTAAGCGAAAAGGGGAATAATTGATGACACTAATCAAGCTTCACCAATTGAAAGAGACAATGAGGTGGGTTCTATTGAAGGCCGTGAACAAAGTTCTCCACAAGAACTTGATCACAATGAAGGAGGTATTGGTCTGCATGAAACAACCTCAAATATGCATGACACCATGCAGAGTGAAGCTGGAGCTGAACAAGTCGATGGAGTTGAAAATATTAGGGAACGAAGAACCAGGTCTCAACTGAAGCATCTAGATGACTACGTTGTAAAACTTCCCCCCTCGATAGACAACTCACAGCCTCCCGTCAATCAAGCGTCCTCCACGGTACATCCCCTTGCTCACTACATCTCTTATGATAAATTTATTGAATCTCATAAAGCTTTTTTAGCGGCCATCAACTTCCACGATGAGCCAAAGAATTTCTATCAGGCATCACAAGATCATAATTGGAGGGAAGCTATGAAAAAGGAAATTCACGCTCTTGAACAAAATGAAACTTGGATTCTTCAAAAGTTGCCACCTAGGAAGAAAGCTTTAGAGTCCGAGTAGATCTACAAAGTGAAACACAAACCAAGTGGAGAAGTCGAACGGTACAAGGCAAGGCTTGTTGCAAAAGGTTTTACTCAAATGGAGGGTGTGGATTACCACGATACGTTTGCCCCGGTTGCAAAATTGGTGACTGTGAGAACACTACTTGCCTTAGCCATAAAATGAGATTATTCATCAACTCGACGTCAACAAAGCATTCTTGCATGGTGATCTAAAAGAAGAAGTGTATATGAAAATTCTTCAAGGATTCTCCACCAAGGAAGAAAGGAGAGTGCGCAGATTAAAGAAGTCGATATATGGTCTGAAACAGGCATCTCGCAACTGGTATCACAAGTTTACTACTGCACTTACTTGACTTGGATGCCATCAGTGCAAGGCAGATCATTCTTGTAATAAAAAAAAGGTATTGTTAGTCGTTAAATTTCAAGGACTTATAGTGTAAAGCGATCGAAGTGAAGGGTTTAGACCCTAAAATTGAATGTAATTTAATGACAGGAAACTCAATGGTCATGAAACCTACGACCATTTATTATGGCTTATCGTTTCATATTTCGTGAAACCGCCAATGGGGCTTAGTATAAAATGGGAGTTTGTAGCTTTATGTGTAGTTTAGGGTCATGAAGGAGAACTATTGTGAGAAAAGGCGACGGTAGACGCTGTAATGAGAGTTGACGGTGCTCTATATCGTAATTAGTTTGGCCCCAATCGGGGAGACGCTAGTCGCTTCAAAGTTCGATTTGGGCTATGCCATGTATTGTGAGTTACACGTGATTTATTTTTAAAATGGTTGCATGCCTTATTATCCAAAAGTTGTTTGAAGTTTCTCGAGATTTTTGATATGCTATATATGCGTGAAAAGTTCGATATTTTTATAATATGTGTTTTGAGTATTTGTRTGTCAATGGGGATGTACTACAATATGAATTTGTAAAGACGAGCATGCTTTGTGATCTTGTCTAAGCCGTAAGTGCGAACATGCTGTGTGAGTTCGCCAGGTAATGTTGTGTGAGGTAGACATCTCCCATGACGCTGTTGCTTGGTGATGTAGACACGCGCTAAAATATCTTTATTTTGTGAAAATCATTATTCTTATCAAGGCATGCTAAATTTATGAAGCTTCGTGAAAATTGTTTTTTTATAAAAGTTGTTGTTCATGCATGTAAAAGTGGATTCACTGGGCCTAAGGCTCACCCAAAACTCTTTTAAAACTTTTTCACCCAGGCGGCTATTAGACTGGAAAGAAAAGTTGGATAAAAAGAGAAATAAGGATTAGCATCAAAGAAGGACATGTGTAGATTAAGGCATTGTTATATCGAACAAAGTATGTTCGTCAAGATTGTAAGTTTAGATGGTGATATAAATTGTAAGATTAGAAATTTTATTTCCGCTTCAATGTAAGTGTTTGATCTTGGGATACTATTTTGATATATTTAAGTATTCGAAATTTTGGGATGTTACAAGTGGTATCAGAACAAAGTTTAAGTGAATTAGGTTACTGAAATCTAAACTTAAACTGAGGATGGAAGATTTTATTATTGATAGATGTGTAACTAAATATTGATTTATAGTGATGAGAGTGGTGATTTAAGTTAATTTGGGGTTAGTCTTAAACCAAATTAAAGTAGAGAAATCGTTAGATGGTTTAATATTCTTGGATATAATGACATTAATAGAGATGTGTTTATGCAAAAACACATGGTAAGATGAGATAAAATAGATGTAGAGTGGCGTTGGTGGATAAAGTTTTGGTGACAAACTCCCACTAATTTGTTTTAGTGGGGAGAGAATATGTTTAGCTTTGAGAATATATGAACTCAAAGTATTGATGATATAGTGAGTTGATTCATCATTTATTTGCATAGGCAAATTTCGAGAATGAAATTTTGTTAAGGGGGAAAATTTGTAATAACAAAAAAAGGTATTGTTAGTCGTTAAATTTCAAGGACTTATAGTGTAAAGCAATCAAAGTGAAGGGTTTATACCCTAAAATTGTATGCAATTTAATGACAGGATACTCAATGGTCATGAAACCTACGACCATTTATTTTGGCTTGTCGTTTCATATTCCGTGAAACTGCTGATGGGGCTTAGTATAAAATGGGAGTTTGTAGCTTTATGTGTAGTTTGAGGTCAAGAAGAAGAACTATTGTGAGAAAAGGCGACGGTAGACGCTGTAATGAGAGTTGACTGTGCTCTATATCGTAGCTAGTTTGGCACCAATCGGGGAGACGCTAGCCACTTCAAAATTCGGTTTGGGCTACGCCATGTATTGTGAGTTACACGTGTTTATTTTTAAAATGGTTGCATGCCTTATTATCCAAAAGTCGTTTGAAGTTTCTCGAGATTTTTGATATGCTATATATGCGTGAAAAGTTCGATATTTTTATAATATGTGTTTTGAGTATTTATGTGTCAATGGGGATGTACTACAATATGAATTTGTAAAGACGAGCATGCTTTGTGAGCTTGTCTAAGCCATAAGTGCGAACATGTTGTGTGAGTTCGCCAGGTAATGTTGTGTGAGGTATACATCTCCCATGACGTTGTTGCTTTGTGATGTAGACACGCGCTAAAATATCTTTATTTTGTGAAAATCATTATTCTCATCAAGGCATGCTAAATTTATGAAGCTTCGTGAAAGACCTTGGGAGCTTAAAATATTTCCTAGAAATCGAAGTGGCTCGCACATCGGAAGGCTTGGTCCTTAGTCAAAGGAAGTACACCTTAGACATTCTTGAAGATAGTGGCCTTTAGGGCTATCGACCTAGTTCATTTCCCATGGAACAGAACCTAAAGCTAGATAAAAAAGATGAGGAAGCGAAGGTTGATGCTAATCAATATAGAAGACTTGTAGGAAGACTTCTTTACTTGCAAGCCATGAGACCGGACATAGCCTATTCAGTAAATGTTTTAAGTCAATTCGTGGCCGATCCAAGACAAAACCATATGGATACAGTTACTAGAGTGCTTCGCTACCTTAAAACCCTACCTGGGCAAGGTATTTTATTACCAAAGGATGGAGGTACCAATCTAGTTACATATTGCGACTCGGATTGGCTTGGGTGTTCTCACACTCGACGTTCAAGAACTGGCTACTT